CGGGTGGACAGCGGGCGGATCGGACGAGGACCGCTGCCGGCTGACACCGTCCACACCCACAGAGTTTGTCTTCCACAGGGCGTTAGCGGAGGCGGCCTGGGCTGCACACCACACGCGCAACACGCGTCACACAGGCGCACACACACGACAAAAACAGAAACAGAACACGGCATTATTGACCCGCTCCCTCGCCCCACGGTCAGCGGGACCGTCTGGAGGAGCAGGGGGGCGGGTTTGTAAACACTCCTCCGGCCCGAGACAGCCACGGCCACACGCGATGGGGACGCAGCGGCAACGCCCAGCTGGCCGGCGTGATCTTACAGATGCTAATTCTCAGACAGAACGATGTGGACAAGGCCTGGCCGGGGCGGGCACACCGACCCCTTCCCCGTGTTGGAGGCGGCCTCCACGTGGGCCCGGCGTGGACCAGAGGGAGAACGGGGAGACCCTCTGGGGGCCAGCAGGGGTGAAGTGCAATCATCAGAGAAGAAATGAAGCAGCCACCAGAATCACACACACAAAGGGAAGAAAACCCCCAAACCCTCATTCTGAGACGTTAGGAAAGCACGAGAGAAAGACGGACAGCTGTCCACCCCTTTCTCCAGCCCGCAGAGCGAATACCGTCTTCCCCGCAGGACGCACACCTCGGAGAAGCCAACAAGGGGCGAGATGACAGTTTAACGCAGGTGCCCCCGTGGGAGACGCCCCCAGGGACCCAACCCAGGCTGCGCTCAGCTGCCCCGGCCCCCCCAGCATCGGGGAGGGTGACGGGGGGGGAGGGAGAGGGGACGAGGCAGCTGTGGGACAATCTCCCATCAGCGTGGGGAGGACCCTGCCTGGGTGCGGGCATGGGGGGCTCTGCCAGGGAGGGAGCGGCTGTTTCGGGGCCTGCCTGGCGTGGGCCGGTCTCCGCCTGGTGGGTCTTCCCCTGAGGGTCTGAGTCAGTGACCCGGACAAGCTCAGCAGCCTCCTCTGGGCCTCCCCTCGTGTGGGGGTCTGAGACCCCAGGCAGCGGGGGAGGTGGCCCAGCCACACAGGAGCACA